GAACCTCAGAGAGGCGGAGAAGAGGCAGCTGCTGGACCTGCCCATCTCCCAAACGTCACTCTTCGGTCCGGAGATGCAGACGCTGATGACTAGGCTGGACACCGCAGCTAAGGACTCTGCTAGCCTAGCCCAGCATCTAGCTGCAAGACGCGAGGCCCGCCCACCAGCGCGGAGCCGAGACAGAGGCAGGGAGCGCTCGCCCGGCAGGCGCCCCGGACCATATCCACGCTCCGTGGTGCATCGTTCCCCAGCGACGAGACCCCCGGGCCCAGACAGGCACACGGGAGGTTCGCGGGACCAACACACCCACCGACGACCTCCCTATGGCAGAGGAGGTCGGGGTGGGAAGAATGTTTTCAATAAAGGCCGTCCGGCATTTCATCAGTACTCGCTGTCTGAGTCTCATTTGGGGGTATGTAACTTGTCAAATGATTTGAATTCTGATTGTGTTACTTCTCGAGCATATAACGTGGCTCCGCTAGGCCTGCAGCCCCCAGAGAAGGGCGTGCAGCGTGCTACGCGGGCCACGAGCTCCGACTCTTGGGTTCATGTTTTGCCCTCCCGGAGAGAGGGCAGGCGGAGGGATCTGGTGAGTGATAATGTGTGTGCTCCGGCCGAACGCGTGTTAGCATCTCTGAGCTACAAGGCTAACACGGGGTTTCCCACTCCAGGGGCTCGTTCCCCCCTCCATGAGGCAAGAGCCAGGGGGGGGTACAGCAGCAGAGTCACGTGTGGTGAGCAGTCCCGTACTTATGACGTCGGGCCTGCAGAACACATGACCGCCCTCGGCGCTCACGGTGTGACGGCCCTTTCAGCCACCCCCCCTCCCTGCTAGGAACACCAGGAGGGGGCGGGGCCGTGACGTCGCGTGTTCCAACTCCCGTTCCGCCCCTCACAGATTTCTACAGCATCTGGAGGGAGCAGGGCCTACTGACAGATATTTGGCTGGAGAAAACTCTGCGCAGAGGTTACGCGCTGCAATTTTTCCGAAAGCCACCACCATTCCGAGGCGTACGGGCGGTACGCTCTCAGGTACGGGGATCGACAGAGGCACTACAAGCGGAGGTCTCCTCTCTGCTGAGTCGAGGCGCAGCAGTGGAGGTAGACCCACAGGACGCCACCAGGGGGCTGTACTCCCCTTACTTCTTAGTGCCAAAGAAATCAGGCGGGGTGCGTCCCATTCTGGATCTGCGCGTGTTAAACGAGTGCATTTCCAAACGGCAGTTTCGGATGCTGTCCACAAGGCAGCTCCTCGAGTGTGTCAGGGAAGGAGACTGGATGACTTCCATAGACCTGACAGATGCGTACTTCCACGTGCCCATAGTGCCAGAACACAGGAGGTTTCTGCGCTTCGCAGTGGGAGAGAGGAATTACGAGTACTGCCGTCTACCCTTCGGGTACGCACTCGCGCCTCGGACCTTTTCCAAATGTGTGGAAGCAGCTCTGGAGCCGATCAGACGTGCGGGGGTAAGAATATTAACCTATATAGGACGATTGGTTAATACTGGCCCCATCCAGGGAAGTGGCCGTGAGCCACACGCACTGGGTCCTGTCCCACATACAGCGTCTGGGCTTTGTGGTAAACAGGGAGGAAAGCAAGCTGCAGCCAGCCCAACGCATGGTTTATCTCGGTCTGCAGCTAGACTCTGTGATATTCCGTGCTGCATTGTCCGTGGACAGACGGATGAATATTACCCGTCTGGCCCGGGAGGTTCTGGCGGGCCCCAGAGTCCCCGCTCGGCGCCTCAGGTCCCTGCTGGGAATGATGGCAGCGGCTCATGCTGTGGTGCGGCTAGGCCTGCTCCACATGAGAAATTTTCAGAGGTGGTTCTCGCGCCTCAGGCTTCACCCCTCCCGGGACGGGGGGAGGCTGATCTGGGTTCCCCAAGGGGCAGCATCGGACATCAGGTTCTGGCTCACTCCGGGTCTATTGCGGGACGGAGTGACTCTGGCCTGCGCTGTGTCTCACGTCGAGGTGTTCACGGACGCGTCGCTCGAAGGATGGGGCGGGGTTCTCGGCCAGAGCTCTGTAGGAGGCTGCTGGTCGGACTCAGACCGTCACATCAACCTGCTGGAGATGGAGGCAGTGCACAGGGTACTGCTGCACTCTGCCCCTCAGCTGCAGGGGAGACACGTGATGGTGCGCTCAGACAACACCACAGTGGTCTCCTATCTGAACAGGCAGGGGGGCACCAGGTCCCCCGCTCTCCATCGCATGGCGACGGTGACGCTGCTGTGGGCGGCGCTTCACCTCCTGTCTCTCAGGGCGCGACACGTCCCGGGGGTCCGGAACGTGGGAGCCGACAGAATGTCCAGGGGGGGCCCACTCCAGGACGAGTGGGGCCTGGCCCCACGGATAGCTGCGGAGATCTGGCGGAGGTTCGGCCGTCCAGTAGTCGACCTTTTCGCCAGTGCAGAGAACGCACAGTGCCCGTCCTGGTTCGCCTTAAGGGCCGCGGACGAGCCGCCTTTAGGCGTGGACGCTCTGGCTCATTACCCATGGCCAGGCGGCCTGTTGTACGCTTTCCCACCGGTGTGTCTCCTGCCGGTCCTGCTGCGGAGGATCGAACAGGAGAGGAGATCGGTGATTCTGGTGGCTCCGGACAGTCCGCATGCCCGGTGGTTCCCCTTCCTGAGGGGCATGGCGGTGATGGAGCCCTGGGCCCTCCCGGACGAGCCGGGGGCTCTAGTCCAGGGCGCAGGAGCCCTGTTTTCACGTCCGATAATCGGCCGCAGGCTCTGGGTTTGGAGGTTGAGAGGCGGAGCCTCGTAGATCTGGGTCTTCCCCCTGCGGTGGTGGAGACCATTCAGGGAGCGAGGGCGCCGTCCACCGTGAGGGCCTACGCCACGAGGTGGAGGCTATTCAGTGTCTGGTGCGATTCCCGTTCCTGGGATCCCAGGTGTTGCCCGCTGGAGGGGGTCCTGGGATTCCTACAGGAGCTCTTCGACAAGGGGAGGGCTGTCGCTACCTTGGCGGTGTTCGCGGCAACCATTACTTCGGGTCACGTCGGATTCGGGGGGTTCAAAGCCCGTTCTCACCCGTTGGTTAAACGTTTTCTGCGGGGGGCGCGCAGGAGGAGGCCCCCGCTCCAGAGAACGCCTCCGGTTTGGGACCTCAGGGTGGTCCTTAGGGGGCTGTCGGGTTCGCCTTTTGAACCGGCGGCGGAGGCGAGTCCCGAGTGTATCGCCTTTAAGACGGCCCTCTTACTGGCGTTGGCGTCTGCTAAGAGGGCGGGCGATTTGTGTGCGCTCTCCGTCCATGCGTCGTGCCTGTCCTTTGGAGAGGACGACGGCATGGTGGAGTTGTGGCCCAATCCGGCTTTTCTCCCCAAGGTCATCACGTCGGCCTTTAGGTCGAGAGTCATCAGGATTAGGGCTTTCCACCCGCCGCCGCATGCCTCCCCCGAGGAGGAGCGGCAGCACCTTCTGTGTCCTATCAGAATGCTGAGGCATTACCTGGCCATGACGTCGTCATTCAGGTCGGGTGATCAGCTGTTTGTGTGTCTGGGCCCCAAGAACAGGGGCGCCCCGCTGTCGGCTCAGCGGCTGGCGCATTGGGTCGCCACGGCTGTGCGGCGGGCGTATCAGACGCAGGGTCTGGCCCCCCCGGTGGGTTTCAGGTCGCATTCCACGCGTGGGATGGCGGCCTCTACGGCCCTTCTCAGGGGGGCGTCGGTCGAGGACGTTTGCCGTGCGGCTTCTTGGGCGTCGTCCTCCTCTTTCGTCCGGTCTTATCTTTCGGATGTGTCGGACCGGTCGGTGGCCCATTCCGTGCTGAGTGCAGCGGACTGAGTTAGACCGTTGGGTCCCTCCTCTGAGGGGGGCCTTCGGTCTATTTTCCGCCCTGGTGCAGGAGCTCTTGGGAGAGCTACATCCTACAGGTGCGGTACATTTGTGTGTATGGTCGGTCTGGTAGTCCACGTCAGGAGCTCTTGGGAGAGGCGTCCTGTGACTACGGATGACCTACGGCTTGTGTTACGTGGGGGTATCCTTGGTAGGAGTGGCCCCGTAACACGCTTCTTTCTTCTGCCCTGAGTCCTCTCACGTGGTGAGGGTCTTGCTCGGGCGGAGCTCCAATCACCCTTCGCTGGCCTGCTGGGAGTACATTTTCCTACGGCCTCCGCGTTGTGTCCCACTAGCGAAGTCCTAAGGGACGTAGCACCATGACGTAGAATTAATAGTTACTTAATGTAACTTAAGTTCTACGAATAGGTGCGTAGTCCCTTAGCTACGAGCCCATCAGGCCAGCCCGGCTTGGCAGAGTTCAAGAGGGGGTGCGGCCTTGTGCAGGGGCATTTATAGAGGAAGGTGGCTGGTGATTGGAGCAAATTATTTTGATCTCTCTGGCGTTGACCTGGGGGTCACGAGTGATATCCCACTAGCGAAGTCCTAAGGGACTACGCACCTATTCGTAGAACTTAAGTTACATTAAGTAACTATTAATTCTCTGTGCGCAAAGGTGCCGGAGCTGTTGCGGGTTTGGGCGCCGCTGTCTCAACTCTGATCCAGTAGAACGCAGAGCTGCACTTATGAAAAGTACGCGGCTCGAAATGACTGTTATTTCAAAGAACGTGGACTATTTTAAACTACGCGGTTAACCGGTTTCAACCGGTTAATGAGGCTCGGTGGTCGGTCATGAAAATTCATAGTTTTTTACATCTCTAACTCACACACACGCTAGTTTCGATGGCCTAAAAGGAAAAGATATACTCATTAGATCATTGGAGATGCAAGACTCTATGAAATGAGACTCATGTGTGGGCCACATGATCAAGTGTCCAGAAAGTATCGTTAAAATCGTCCTTTACCGTTTTGAGTGATTTTTTTCACAAACAAACAAACACCAGTGATTCCTTCACCTCATTGAAGGAGATAATAATCATGACATTACATTGTGAGTTCCTTGGCATTCAATAGATCTTGTCTGTCTAAAATCTGCACACACAAGAATCTGCAGACTCTGGGATGTGGATTAATGCATGGATTTTGTCTCATTACAGGTTCTGAAATTGTTCAGTGGATGATCAAGAATTTGGACATTGAAGACCCAGGTAACATCATCATTCTTTTGAAATATGTTTTTGCATTTGCTTTGTTAACCGGTTTGAAGACGTGACAAATTTTCATTAGTAACACAAAATAAGGCCGACTTGCAGAGGGAGCCTACAGGAGGGCTTTAACTTTCAGATTTTCCTTCCTCTTTGATGTGTTGTGTGTGTCCCGGAGGTGTGCCGCTTCACAACGCACACTCTTCTCTTCACTCTCTGGAAGGTGTGCTGCACAATTTTATTGTACAGCAATTGTACATGTAGCCAGTGGTCAATCCCTGGACAACACTATGGGGAACATGAGGGAATTACGCACACACACACGTATAAATATAAGTCAATCTGTTCAGCGCTTCTGTACAGTACCTCTGTACAGTACCTCTGTAAAGTACGTCTGTAAAGTACGTCTGTACAGTACCTCTGTACAGTACCTCTGTACAGTACCTCTGTAAAGTACCTCTGTACAGTACCTCTGTACAGTACCTCTGTAAAGTACCTCTGTACAGTACCTCTGTAAAGTACCTCTGTAAAGTACCTCTGTACAGTACCTCTGTAAAGTACGTCTGTACAGTACCTCTGTTCAGTACCTCTGTACAGTACCTCTGTAAAGTATATCTGTACAGTATCTCTGTTCAGTACCTCTGTACAGTACCTCTGTTCAGTACCTCTGTACAGTACCTCTGTAAAGTACCTCTGTACAGTACCTCTATACAGTACCTCTGTACAGTACCTCTGTACAGTACCTCTGTACAGTACCTCTGTACAGTACCTCTGTAGTGCAGAGGGAGATTGTGGATTATCACAATCACTGATGATAGCAGGAGCGTCCACCACTCTGTTGTGATTACACCTTGTAAAAAACAAATGACGTCCAGTCAATGTGTTTGAATGTGAAAAATGTCTGTGTTTATTGGTTCATTATAAACACAAATGACTTCATGATCTAGTGCAATTTTGAAGATGTACAATGTTTTCTTTTGATCCAGAAGAGTAAATTGCAAACCCCCAGAGAGAGTGTGAGGCTCACGAGGAGCAGTGGCAAAGAGCAGTGCATGCCATGGGTGAGGGTGTTTCCCATGACTGTCCATAATGTAAAAGCCACAGTGGAATGCTGAGGAATGCTGGCGTTGACTCGCGCACATCCATACCATCCTCACTCTGCATAAACACCATGCGTCAGTGGGTCCTTATACAAGCCCCTGTTAAATGCCTGTTCACAACATCTCTTCCATATGGATGCATGTTGTCAGATGTGCATAGGTCAGACCATTGTTCTGCCAAACTAAAAAGCCTCGACTTGATGATCCGCCAGGAGAGCCTCACATACTCCTTTTATTTTTATCCGTCTTTGTAAAGCTGAAGGCACCTGTCAGGTTGAAGAATAGTTGAAAGTGTGTTCTTGGGAGAATGCTGCGATTACTCATGTGTATTAAAAATAGACGTACAAAATGATAAAGAAAAAAAAGAGTGAAATGAGCAGAAACTGTCTTTAGATAAAAACTACAATTGCCCCGAGGATGTTGGCAAAGAATGTGATTTTTGTGACCAGCGTTTATTGCTCTATAAAAGCTTAAGTGCAGTTTAATTACTACGGGGAAGCTCAGGGCGTATCCCACCTCGCTGATGATGTGAGTGTTGTGGGGAATACAAACAAATAGAGAAATGGCTGAAGAAGGAATGCAGGATTGTAAGTGACTCCACAAACTCCCAGTGAAATGGGGAAAAGTAATTAATTTGGTTTGCGGCAAAGCTATCAGCGAGCGTGTTATGTAAGGGCGCAGCCGCTCAAATCAAAATGAACTGAGAACATCCCAAATGATGAAGGAGAGCTCCAATAAGATAAACAACACTTCATATTATTGTGTCTTTTCCATCAGTTCTCATTTCCTACCACGCTGGGAAACTATGACTATAAGTTTCAAAAGTAATAGAATAATAATTTACATGAACAGTGTAGGAGGAATAAAATGACCTCTCTGTATGCTGCCCTTCCTCCGCTCTGATAAAGACCTCTACCTCTCCATTGCGGGGAGAGGCGGCCAAGAGGTTTAACAAAACATTTTGAGACACTCTCTTTCGAAGAAGTTTGCTTAAAGAAGCTATACCCAATTTTTTTTCTAAGTAGTTGATAAAAATGCTTATTACTACATACAAGTTGTATTATAATCCGTAATTTAATTGAAAACTTGAGGTAATTGATTCAGCTGTGTAAGAATTACAAGCAGTGAAAAGTGCTGAGTAGAGTCTGAGCGGGACGTTTGTTCTCCTCCGCTCACAGAACGAGCAGTGACCAGTCTGCGTCCTCTAGCCTCTACAGCGCTGCTTAACACCAGGGCTTCGACTTCAAAATTTGAATATAATTCTAAAATTAAACACAAATATATATATTCGAACACATATTAGACAGCCCTTACAATTCGATATGTATTCAATAACTGCAAATAAAATAGTTAGCTCCCAAAGGTTTCATCAGGACGTGCTAGGCAGTTAACAGCTAAGCTAGCTAGCTCCCTGGAACTACATGTTAATGGTTTCTTCCAGGTTTTTCGCGATCGCTTTTTGTCACATTAAAATAGTAATTTGGTCATGAAAACGATAACAAGAAATTCTGAAAAAGTCTGTGCATGTGTGTTAAGGATGTATATGTATACTGTATTGTCCGATTAACATTTAATGGTGTTGATTGATAGATATGTAGTTGTTTATTGAGCGTGTGCAGCTCCGCTAGCTTCTCTCGTTGTGCTTGCAAAGTAATGGCAGTATTTTACACACCTGAATTACAAACAGATTGCATTGTCAAAGGGCAGCGGTCATTATTGATTTGAGAGTTCTGTTATCAAGAAAAAATGATCGGTAGAATTACATTCAAGTCAATGAAGTATTGTACCGCTGCTGTGAGGAGCTGTATAATAAATTATAATTAATTAATCAAATATATTGTAATGTTTTAATGAATAAATTCGGATGCGAAACTAGCAGTATTCTTTTACCTATATATTGTGTTAGCAGTGCGTCGCTTTAGTACCATTTCATCTGTGATTGTTGTACAGCTTACAAGAAGTTGAGCTAATGCTAATGTTAGCATACATGTCAGATTGAGCTAGATGGCTCTGTGTTATGAGAGCGTAGGAGAAATGAGAAGCCATTGAGCGAGTTGGGGGGCGGTGCTGAACATTCAAACCTTGCAGAAACGGGTATAGCGCCTTTCCTTAAACATCAGCGCCTGATGTTTAAGGAGAACATCATCTCCCTGCTCTCTCGGAGGACCGTCTGTATTCAACTGTTCTCCATCCATTGTCATCATGACCCAAGGACTGCCATCGATCAACCTCACATTCTGGTTGTATGATCTTCTCTGCTTCACAGTTGTTGGCTTATTAGAACCTACACTTCAAACTAAGAACTTAGTCTCTTACCAAGGCTGCACACATGCAAGCCTGGGCCTACCAATTGTGAATGTTCCCAGACGTAAGACAAAAAGAGACTTCGACAAATCAAGCAAATAGTAATTAAATATTCACACAATCCATTTAGAAGGACAAAGGCCCACACATTAGCCTAATCTCACCTTAGCCTAGCATGTAAACCATGTGTCTTGCAATCAGCGTTTCCTTCATGTTATTCTTGACAATTTTCATATTTCATATCTACTCTGTATTATATATACTTCATTAACTACAGAACCATCTTTGTCTGAAAGTGATATTTGTACTGATTTATCTCCAGAAATTGGGCCACTGATTCTATTGGAGAGAATTGGACTAACTAGCTAATTAAATAATTGATTACTCATGATTACAGAATCAATAAATGAGCCAATTACAGTTTTTCTCAATCGCGTTGGTGCATTTCTCAGATCAGACTTAAAGTTCTCAAAACTGTTAGTTCAACCTCCACAACATTGAGTCATTGGTGCACATCATCATGGCAGTTTCTCATTCCTATGAACAATTTACAAATGCTTTTGGACATGTATCAGTTACTTTCATACAATTCTCTGATGTTTTTTAACATTTTCATTTGCTTCTGTTCTGTCAGTCAAAATGAAACATACTTATGACTTCTAAATAGTCATTCACTATAAAACGAAAGTCCTCATTTCATCGCTTTGGTCATCACATATAAAATTGTTGAACTAGTTCTCAAAATCATATTTGCCAAGCTAATTTCAAACATTGATTTTATCTTTTTTTCCCTGTAAATCTATCCTAAATTTAACAATGTCTCTCAAGTGAATTTCAGCTTTACTCATGAGGAGGTGTGTGTTTTATTGTTTACATTTTTCACAGTTCTACCATAATGATATTTCACTTTGGAGAGACCCAAGAGGAAAATGCAGTTAGAAGTTTATTGATTGAGTATGTTTGGCGCCCTAGGCCCGGGAGAGATGCTGATGAGTGCGGCGCTTGCTCGCGCGCATCATCCCCAAAAACGGGCAGAGTTATCTTTGCGTGCCGGGACGTGAGCGCTCGCTTCACGATCAACCGGACGCTGCAGCAGAGTTATTTTTGAGCGCTGGGACGTGAGCGCTCGCATCACGATCGATACCAGACGCTGTAGCAGAGTTGACTTTAAGCGCCGGGATGTGAGCGCTCGCATCACGATCAACCGGACGCTGCAACAGAGTTGTCTTTGAGAAAGTGCGTGCCGCCACCAGAATCTTTATTGCTTCACTTACTTTGCTTTGTATTGCTTTGCTGGGAGCTTACGAGGAAGCCAGTAGCCGTTGTGCAGCCAGGATAGCGGACGCGTCTGGCCTGATGTAGGCGGAGAAAGCCGAAGAGGACCAGCGCCCCAGCTGTTGCAGAGAGGTGTGGGGGAGCCCCAGCGAGGCCGCGCGCGTGGCAGCGCCTATCCTGAAGGAGTGGGCTGTGTAGAGCTGGGGAGACAAATTGCAGAGGAGCAGTAGGGATCTTAGTCGAGCTCTGAACCAGGTTGCTGTCATGGGAAGAATGTCCGGAGTGAGAAATAGAGGTCCGTTAAACTCTCCTTTTTGCAGCGGAGGCGAGTGTAACGCATCATGGACCTGTAGGGGCAGAGAGATGTGTCGGAGCAAGCTGTTATTGTGTTGCAGGCGCCTTTGATCTTTAAATGTTGGAGATGAAGGTTGAAATGGTCAGGGGACATTATGTTGGGTGAGAAGAGCGACCTTTGTTTAATGCTTCCACTACGTCGAGATTATCACGCATGACAGAGATCCTCTTTCTCTGCCACGTGTGATTCCACGCGCGCAGGCCACGACCACTGGGAATGTCTCGTGTAGGGCAGAGGAAATGCTCCGGGGAAAAGTAGCGGCCACGGCCCGGCAACCCGATGGTCCTGGAAGAACCCCCAAAACCCACGGAAGGGGCAGCGTCCGTGTAGAAGCGGAGACCTGTAGGGGCAGAGAGACATACCGGAGAGGGCCATTGATGTTGCAGGCGCCCTTACGCTTAGAATCTTGGGTTGGAGATTAGATAATCAGGACAGTAGGATAGGTTGGGAAAAGCCGTGTCTCGGACCGCATTGAAGGTTGAGTGAGCAGTAGTGAAACGCTTATGCAGAGAAGCCACAGAAGGCGAGCAGGAAGATGCTGCGAGGAGGGCAGACATGTACTTGGAAGATGAGCCGGAGTTCAGTGCCGCTCAGAGCTGCTGCAGGATGGGCAGCAGGATGGGGAGCCTGCAATCAGAAGATTGAAGAATACAGGTATGGATGCCTTTGATTAAGAGTCCGATTGACAGCGCAGCGCAGCTACTCGGCCAGCTGCATCTGATAGAATCAGAAGATTAAGCGAG